GAGGCTAGCCCCCACACTCCCCCTGACACCCCAGTCGACACTGAGGCTAGCCCCACACTCCCCCTGACACCCCAGTCGACACTGAGGCTAGCCCCTACACTCCCACCCACCAGTTGCATCTGTAACCCCCACAGTTTGGGTCTGGTGGTGATGCTTTGTCCTCGTCCTCAGACCAGGGGACAGAAAACTCCAGCCTGTGAGGCAAATCCATTCTGTAGCCTGTTTTAACCCAGCTCCAGAGCTAAAGATAAACTTTTCCATGTTTTAATGGCAGAGAAATCAAAAGGAAGCAAAGATTTATGACAGCTGAAAATTAGATCACATCCCAGCTTCTGCATCCGCAGATCATGTCCCTGGAACCCGGCCATGGATACTTGTTTACATCCTGTCTCGGGCTGCGTTCTGCCACAGAGGCAGAACTGAGTGGCTACGTGGCTGTCGCTCTGGCTCAGAATATTTGGTTCCTTGCAGACCAAGTCCGCTGACCCCCGAGGTCTGGACATCTCCATGGGAGTGTAGGGGATCGCTTCCCTTTTGTGTTCTAAGTACTGGGAACACTGGCAGCACACAGTAGGTGCTTAGCAAACCTGCCTGAATGAGTGGAGGTGCATGTGGAGCCTGTTGCTTCAGCCTCCTAAAGAATGTGAACAATGACCCCACCACCATCACATTCTCCAACTCTGTCTGGCATACGGCACTACACAGTCTCCTTGAGCACTAGGAGAGATATCCCTGGGGGTGTCACTTACTCAAAGTCCCTGGAGGAGATAATGAAGAGAGTGGCAAGACCTGAACTTGGCACCAGGAGGGTGGGCCTCTATGTCTCTGGGACAGTGGCCTAGCTGGCTGATTCAAAGGATCGCTGTCACCTGCTGTGGCCAGGGTTGATGGGCTATGCCGTGTGGGTTGCACTTTGCTGCTCTCTGGTGGCCATTTGGGGAGGCTGTCACCAAGAAACATGATTTAGTTTCCTGGGACACCTTCCTTCAAACCCATCTGACCGACTTACCAGAAATGCAGGAACTTGTCAGCCTAGGCTCTCCCTCCCCGCTCCCCACTCAATCCTCCCCTGGGGGAGTAGGGAGTCACAGCAAGTCCTCTGGCTAATCTGAGATCCCAGCTACCTCCCCTAGGGCTCTGGAGGACACCCGGCTTGGCACTACTAGTGTGCGCTCCATCCTGACGGAGTTGGAAGGTGGCCTTGCTCCCTACTGACCAGGGGCCCGTCTAGAGGGATGCACAAGGGGAGCCTTGTCTGTTCCTGTGTTTTCTGCATATCTGGAAAGGCCTCTCTGTGGGTGAGGACCTCTTGGTACAGAGAACTGCTCCATGAACTGGGAATGGGAAGTGGGTCTCTAATCAACCCCAAAGTGTGCTGAGAAGTGACTTATGCTTTGTATCTGAAATATCCTCCCAAAGGCTCATGCATTTGAAGGCTTGGTTCTTACACAGCAGTGTATAGAGGCAAGACCTCTGGGAATGACAGGCTCATGAGAGCTCTGGCTTCATTGATGGATTGACCCACTGATGGCTTCATAACTTGAGGAGAGGGGACAGGAGGGGCTAGCCGGAGGGAGGGGTCCTGGCCCACGTCCTTGGGAGTCATGCCTTGTCCCGGGCCCCTCCCCTTGTGCTTTCTGGCTGCCCTGGGTTGAGCAGCTCTGTTCTACCACGCCCTCCCTAGCACTGTGCTCCACCTCACCACAGGCCCATAGGATGGGACCAAGCCACGATGGACCAGATTCTCTGAACCTGTGAGCCAAAAGAAACCGTTCTTCCTTTGATTTTTCCAAGGCATCTTGTCAGAGCAAGAAGTTGACTCAGTGACAATCACATGCTTCTCAGCACATCCTCGCACCGCCAGCGACTGCTCCCTGCCTGCCTCTGCTGCAGAAGCCCTGGTCTCTGGCTAGGGCCTCCTGTGTGGGTGATGGTGTGTTCAGGATGAGCAGTGGAGGGTGCATGGAAGGATGGGTAGGCAGATGAGTGGAGAACTGGAGATCTTGTAACAGGGTGAGCTCTGGAGAACTCTGGTCTGGCCCAGGTCCCCACTGCTCTACCATCTCGTCGATTTGGTTCTGGATACCCTGGCACCTTCGTTTCCTGTGCCTGTGTCCCCGCTCTTCACCCAGCCCCACCTCCTACCATCCCAGCCCCCCCACACCAAGCCCGCCACGGCCTTACAGAAGCTGTCGCCAAAACCGAGATCACTGTTCCCCAGAGATGGCACCCTTCCCAACCTCCACCCAGGCTCCCCAGCTGTCACTCATCTTCATAGCACACATTACCAACAAAAACGCTGCCTCCTCACCGTCTGTCTCCCTTGAGGAGGCAGCACGGGGCAGGGACTTTGCCCCTCCCCCTCCTGTACCACTATTACCTAAGCAGACGCAGATGTCACCTTTGGGGATAAAGGTAACTTTACATCCTTCACTGGTTGCTAGTTCAGTATGCCAGTCTCACCAGACCCAGCAAGAAGACGCATGCAATGCCAAACTTCGGCACAAGGGGGCGGTAGGATCTGCGTGCCTTGTATGCTCTAGGCAGCCTCCCTCCCCTCTGAGTGTTTTCCTCATCAGAAAAAGAAACTGCAGTTCACAGGGGCGCTGCGAGCTTTGAGGGAGAAATGAAACCATGTGAAATGAGAAACAATGCTTTTTGAGCTGTATTTATTGCCGTGTACACACCACCACAGCCGGTGCCATCAAGAGCTCTGTGCAGCCCATGCCAGGGGACAAGGCAACCAGGGGCACACTGCCTGGTCAGCCTCCCTGGCTGCAGCTCCCAGCACCCTCACAGGGCTTAGTAGTCAGGGCCACTGTGTGCGATGCTGACACAGGAGCTGAGGCTGGGCTCTGGGCTCTGGGCTCTCCGTGACGCCTGCAGGTTTGAGTTAAAGTCTGGCTATCTTACAAGAGCCGCCGATTCCCAGCTTCTCTGAGATCTCTGCTGTCAGCCCTGCATCCCCACACCACAGCAATTTGCTACAACTGAACAGCAGTCAGCACCTGTGGGTGAGGACCTGTCTCGGCACAGTTCCCACTGTATTCCCCTGCACTCCCAAGCGGTCATTATCATCATCCAGACTGCACACAGATACCTCATCATCACAGAACCTCTGTCTCCCTCTGTCTGGTCTCCAGTGCTAATCAAGACCCAGGCAGATCAGGTCCCACTACTCTGTTACACTCATTGTAACTCACCGAGGGAAGAGAGGGCACCAGAGCTGCGTGCGACCTTTGACCCAGGACAGGGAAAGGGGAGAGAAGGGTCATTTCACACATACCAGCCCTCTGGGCAGCCAGATCGCCTAAGCCTGAGCTGGTTTGCTTCTTTACAAGTTTGCAAGCCACTCAGTGTCAGCAGGGTAGGTACTGAGGTGAGGGTGTGAGGAAAGCCAGATGCAGAGACTGTGGTGTTGATGTGCCCTCTGGTGGCCTCAAGGCACCACTGCAGGTCATGGAGAAGGTTTTTAATCCAACAGCTGGTGGACCCCAAAATAGACGCACTTCACCCTCATAGAGGCCAAGCCATGGGCTTCCGGGCACGCCCTTTGCACGATCTTCTTGCCCTCCTCCCACCACTCAGCCCTCTCCTGGACCTCCTGCCACCCACCTCAGTGCCCAGCACAACTAGGATCCACCAGGCGACCCCCTCTCAGGGGTGAACTCCAGGACCCCGCTCTTCAGATCCTTTTGCCTTTCTTGAGGCTGAAACACAGAAGCCCTGAGGTGTTTTCCAGGAGTAATCCACAGGGGTTGGAAAGGTCAACTCCCAGATGCTGGGGGTCAGGCACACAGAACAGGCCGGCTGAGGTGTCTCTATGTCCTGCTGTAGATGATGCTGACACCGAGAAGCTGGTGTGGCCACACAGTCATTCTGCAGGAGAAGCAGGAGCCATGTGGCCTTTAAGGCCATACACCCACGTAAAAGGCTATCTCAGGTGCATAAGTCACCCAGACCTGTGAGACCTCGCTAGGCGGTTGGGTGCAGGCCGGGGCCCTCCCTGGAGAGCTCTGAGGCGGCGCTGCCAACAGAGCCTTCGAAGATGGTGAGTATAAGCCACTGTTTTTCAAAGTGTCGTTTATTGAGTAGTTTGTAGCCATCACCATGGCTGATCCTGAGAGGCAAGGAGAGAGAAAATTCTTGGACTCATTTCAGAGGTTGTGACACTGAGACCAAGGGAGGCTTCCTGGCAGGCTAAGGGGAGGTTGGAAACAGCAGACTCATAAGCCCACCCCACAGTCGCACACAGATGCACCCCACGGTAGACCAGGGGACAGAGGTGCACCCCCTACCCGCCCAGCTACACCTTCCTGTAGAGCCCTGGAAGGGCCATTACCTCACAGCAGCAGGATGGCGACTCCAGGTGCACTTACGAGTATGCACACGCGCGTGTGTGTGTGCACACACACACATACACACACACCCCACACAGAGCTCTGTGGCAAACAGCCCCGTGGCTCCCCAGTGGGCAACGCGCACCCTATCACAAAGCCTCGGGCTCGGGTCATGGCAGATGCCCCACAGGCCTTGCCATTGTGAGCGAAGCAGAGTGTCCTAAGAGGCCCCCCAGAGGCCCTTTAGGCCGGATGTGTGGCCATCACCCCGGCAGCCTCACCAGTTGGCCTTCACTGCCTTGATGTCACTCACGAGGTTCTGGGCCAAGCAGATGCCGAATATCTGTAAGACAGAGAGTGGGTAAGGAAGAGCAGAAGGCTCTGGGCAGGAGGAGGGCAAGCAAGTCATGGCTGTACCTGGAGGAGGGCAATGCCCACCAAGACCCCGGCCACCACAATCAGGTTGTCTTGCAGCCACTTCTCAAACTGGCCCACACAGCCTTTGGTGTAGATGGAGCCCTGCTGTTCAAGCTCCTGAGGACACACAGGACCAAGACTCAGCCTGCCTGCTGCTGTGGGCCTCAGCTCAGATCTATACCTCTTCCCTCTTCCCAAGCCCATCCCCACTGCAGTGTCCTCCCCAACAAAGTGTTCCCTGGAATTCTCCCACAGGGCCTTTGCACAGATGGCCCCTTCTCCTAGGGTCTTAGCCTGGCTCTCTGCTCTGAAGAGGCTTTCCCTGAGCACACAGACCCTGCCTTATCAACCTCCCAAGTTCTCATGACTGTCCATATCAATGTGTCTACTCGTTTACTGTTTCCCCTTCTTTCCTTGAGTTCAGAGACAATCCATTAGCACTGGATCACCAAGACAATCCATTAGCACTGGATCACCAAGACAATCCA